GCCGGCCTCGGCCCCTCCGGGCGTGTGGGCGCTGGGCCGCCGGGCCGCCAGGCCGACCGCGTGCGGTCCCCGCACGGTCCGGCGCTGGGCCTCTTCGGGTCGGCGTCGCTCCGGAGCGGAATGCTCAGCCCCTCAGCTCTCTCGGTCCCCTTAGCTTCGGGTCTAGCCGGCTCCGACTGCTTTCCAGCCGAATTGTTTCCTAGAATTCGGGTGTTCTGACCCAAATAGTTGACGTTGTTTGAGGGTCTGCTGTGTGCCAGGTGCTGCGGGTACAGAGGGGAACATCCTCTCTGACGGAGTTGATGGTCCCGGGGAGGAGCCACACACTGAACACGAATCCCGTAGATAAAGTGCTCAAGTTAATGACTTTCTGTGCGGGGAGGGGACCACCGTGGTAGGGCTGGAGCGGGACGGTCTCCCGGGAAGCGGCGAGTGAATGAGCGTCCCCAATAACGAAGCAAATGTTACTGTCCAGAAATTTTTCTCACACTACGGTTTCGTAGTATAGGGACTCTCCTCCCTCATGGTTGCTTGTGTTTAAAACATGCTGCTAAATTGTGATTTTAGAAGCTTATCGAAACCTTGTAGTAAGTTGAAACTATCCCACTGATTTCTGTGAGGCCCAGCTTTTAATTATTTGGTAATAATTTGATCTCTACTACTGCAGGAGCCTTAAGTATCAGAAACAAGAAAGTGGCTCCTACTTTTTTATGTGAAATTACTCTACTAAAAAGATACGATTTTTTTTTCCAGGATCCTGGCGATGCAGCACAACAGGAAGCAAAACACAGGTATGGGCTGGAGCTCTGAACTTTTTGAAGGGTGGTTTCACCAAATTGTTTTTTTTTAGTTTAGTTATTTTAATAGGCGTGTGAATTTAAAGTTTTTCCTGGCGTAGAGTTTTTTCCGTAAGTAATCAGGGTAGTTTCATTATTAATTTGTTAATTAAAGAAACGTGTGTAGAACTCCATGCACTTGTATTATAATTGGTTGATGTTTGCTTGTCTGCTAAACTGTGATTACCTTAAAATGAGCCTCATAATGACTACCTCATAGGGATTTTGTGAGGATTACATGGGGACAGTGCCTCACATTTACTGTTCTTACTGCTGTTTTATTCCCAGCACATGGCAGGGCACCTCATACATAGCAGGTTTATTGAATGAAGACCTTAGTTATCTCACCATGCTATCTTTTCTTCTTTCTAATTGTGATTTTTAAAAATAAGACATAAAATTTACATAATAATTTTTTAAGTGTGAAGTTCATTTGTTAACTATATTCTCATTGTTATGTAACAAATCTTTAGAACTTTTCCATCTTGCAAAACAAACTATACTTACTGAACAACACATTTTCCCCTCTCCACATCATGCTGCCATTTAATTAATTCATTCAGCAAATATATATATTTTTTAAGATGTATTTATTTAGGGGGCGCCTGGGTGGCTCAGTTGTTCAGCGTCTGCCTTCGGCTCAGGTCCTGGGATCGAGCCCCACATCGGGCTCCCTGCTCCGCGGGAAGCCTGCTTCTCCCTCTCCCACTCTGCCTGCTTGTGTTCCCTCTCTCTCACTGTCTCTTTCTGTCAAATAAATAAATAAAATCTTAAAAAAAAAAAGATTATTTATTTTAGAGAGAGAGTGCACATGTGAGTGAGGGGAGAGGGAGAGGGGGAGAATCCCAGGCATACTCCCCAGTGAACTTAGAGCCCCGCTTGGGCTCCAGATATCATGACCCCGAGATTATGACCTGAACCAAAATCAAGAGTCGGATGTTCAGCCGACTGAGACACCAAGGTGCCACCATTCAGCAAATATTCATTGAGCACTAGGTCTGGGTCAGGCACTGTGTTGGATCTGTACAAACAGTCAGGGCAGAGAAGGTTCCGTCCTTACATGGCTTGTTAGTGGTAGAAAAAAGATGGTGCTAAGAAAAAAATAAAACTACATGAATTTCATTGATTCTGAGATGTACATTTTTTCACATTTTAACATAGATTGGGTCTCATAAATGATCAGTCTTGTCCTGGATTCTTCCAGAGAAGATTTATTTTTGCTTCTGCCATGACTTGGGTACATTTCTAACCTGAGATGTTTTAAAATTAAATTCTGTGCCTTAGATTCCACTTCCCCCCAAGCAGTGTAAGGCCTGCAAGAACTTGAAGTTCAAACTCTAAGAGGAATTTTTCTTCTTCCACTCAGGGCCAAGGCTGATTTCATGCATCCTTCCTTGCTGTCCCTTTCTGTGTGGCCGGTTTATTTTTTGTTTACCTTGTACTGTGGATGTTACTCTTTGATGCCCCAGCTTTGAGTAGGGGTGTCCTATTAGACTCAACTGGGGTGTTTTTTGTTGTTGTTCTTAGAGGTATATAAAACTATGGTGCATCTTACAACCGAAGGCATCTCAGATTCAGTGAAATACAGTAACGGTAGTTCACAGCAGGGTTGAAGTACTCAGGAGCCATAAGGAAATGGCCTGTGGAAGTGGGCTATACGCTCCTCAGGTAGGGGTGGTTAGTAGGTACAGCCAGCCCCAGCTCCCCTTCTAATTCAGCCAGAGGATCTGCTTTTGTCTGTGTTGTGTATTAAGTTCCCTAAATGACTTCATTGGGGGAAAATTTTTTTTTGCTACTTAAAAGTTTGAAACCACTGTCCTATGAACCTGAACTAGTTGCAAGGATAGTTGCAGTGTTATAATGTCACTCCCTCTGGTGACTCAAAGAGTGGAACTGAGAGTCTTGAAACATGGGGCTCAGGGGAGCCTGGGTGGCTCAGTTGGTTAAGCTTCCAGTTCTTGGTTTTGGTTCAGGTCATGATCTCATGGGTTGTGAGATCAAGCCCCGCGTCGGGCTCCACACTCAGCAAGGAGTCTGCTTGAAGATTTTCTCTCTCCTCCTCTGCCCCTCCCCCCACTTGGGTGCACAAGCTCGTGCATGCGTGCGCTCATGCTCTCTCTGAAATAAGACATCTTTAAAAAAAAGAAAAGTAACATGGGGCTTCGTTCTAGTTTGGCCATGATCATCTGTGTCCCCATAAGATAGCCTCCCTAGGTCTCAGCTTCTTCATCTCCAAAAATACCAGACAGATTAATCGTTTGGTCCTTTAATTGCTTGGAATCTCACTACAAATTCCTAGAACCTCTCACACACTGCATACTTAATAAATGTTGGTAATGGTGGTTAAACGAAAACTCCACCCTGAATTATGAAAATGTACAGTTTTACCTTTCAGCCTGGTAGGTTTACACCCACATAAAATAAAGCCAGCTTCTGAGGGCAGAGGTAGCCTCTTCTTGACTGTGGGTGCTGCCACCACGCTGCGCCTACTATAATGCAGTCCGTGCACACGGGAGGCCTCCATCTTGGGAAACCTATTGTGTGAGTTCCATTTTTGTATGTTCAGTAGGAATGCTGACAGCATAGTTCTAATTTTGCTGACCTGTTTTTGTTGTAGGGAAGCAGAAATGAGAAACAGTATCTTAGCCCAAGTCCTGGATCAGTCAGCCCGGGCCCGTTGTAAGCATCTTCAGTTTCCTTTAAGTTATTTCCATAACACTGACTTGAGTTAGTTGAATAGGGAAAGATACATGAAATCATTGCTAATTCTGGATTAAGTATTTAACCTAAAAACACAATACAGATAATAATGTAAGAAATGTGGTTTATAAACCTAAGGAAATGCATTTAAATCGTTATTAAAAATACCAGCTCAGTTCTCTCTTACCAAGGAGATGATCTCCAAGTGCACCTTAGGTAAGATTTACAGGAAACAACTTGTAAATCAAGTCAATCACAAAATGTGGCTGGTAGTTGATGTGGGTGAAGGGGATTGGGGGGGGCGGCGCTTATTGTCTCTGTTTTAGTGTATGTTCATAATTCTTCATAATAAATACCAAAACAGTGTAGAAAAAAATAATAAAATAAGCCAGTCGGAATGAACTAGTATCTTTCGTATTGTGACTTGAAGCCCAGCTTAGAAGCAGCCTTAGATGGAGCATCACAATTATATATGTGTAGTAGTAGAGAAATTGTGTTCCAGAGGGCAATCGTTTAAAAAAAAAAAATCAGGCTTAGAATCCCAGGATGCAAGTTTAATCTTGGCTCTCCCACTACCTGTGTGTGGCTTTGACTGAGATTGGCATGGCTGAACTTCAGTTTCCCCTTTTTAAGAGGGGTAATAGTACCATCTGCCCCACCTACCTACCTTGCTAGTCTCAAAATATGTCTGTGAAGTGCTTTGGAAATGTCAGTGCGTAATTTTAAGTTATATAAGTGCATTTAGTTTTGACTCCTCCTTTTTCTTTCTAGTAAGTAACTTAGCACTTGTAAAGCCCGAAAAAACTAAAGCAGTAGAAAATTACCTCATACAGATGGCAAGATATGGACAACTAAGTGGGAAGGTAAGCTTGGACTGCCTTGAGGCAGTTCTACCTATTTTTACCTAACTTTATCAAAAAATATCTTCAAAAGGTCAATTTTCAGAAAGGTTATAGAAATTCTTGTTGACTATTTCAGTGAGGCAATTTATAAAGGAGAGAATTGTAGTATCTGCCATAAATCCTAAAAGATAACTAATTGCCTTTCCTAAAATTCTCTGCTGATTTCCTTTACCGACGTTGCTATGGAACCTTGATGTGTTTGTGACCCAGTGACTCTTAGGGTCAGCATCTAATTCCTTCTGCATTGGAAACAGGTTTGTCAATGGTACCAATTAAAGACTACCAATATAGGTAGAAGTTAAGCTTGTTTTGCAAATGAGGAGGTGCTGAAATTTCTGATTATGCTGCTGTAATGCCATGATGAGTATATTCTGGTGAGCCTGACCGTCCTTCAAGATCCAGATGAGCCCCACCTGCTCTGGAAACCACCTGCTGCCACCACAGCCTGCAAGAATCAGTCCTGCCCTGAACCCCTTACCCTAAGAGCACATGTGGAAGAGACAACGGCTGGTGCATCTTTTTTGAGTGATTTCCCTCCTGCATTTAAGCTTCTCAAGGGCAGAGGCAATGTGTCTCTGTTCCTGACCCTTAACACAGTGGTGTAGGTGGTTGTCATTGTTGGCTAGTGGTGATAAAGGTGTTCTTACACAATGTTGACTTTGGAATTTCCTGAGAAAGCTAATTTTGATGGCTACTTTCCCACCCTCCTCAAATGAGGCTAGCAGAGCAAAATTCTTTTGGAACTTAAGCCAACTCAGAACTTCCCATCTTGCCTTTCCTTCCCTTTTGACCTCTGCCCCCACATCCCAGAAAAATTAAAACCATTCAGTCTACTAAGGTAAACTCTCTGTTTAAAAAAAAGTACTGTTTTTCTTTCTGGTTATCCTAGGTATCAGAACAAGGTTTAATAGAAATCCTTGAAAAAGTAAGCCAACAAACAGAAAAGAAAACCACAGTTAAAGTAAGTGTCCCCAAATGCTCATGGCAAAAGAAAAAGATTGCTATTTTAAGTGATAAGTGTTAAATATACATCTACTGTAACAAAACGTGTTTCAGCCCATAGACATTTCCATTTTGTAAGAGGTGAAAGTTGGGGAGCAAGGTTGCACGTGCTGAGGGGTCTGTCGTTCCCCTCCCCCCATAGACCTGAAACACTAAGCTGTTTTAAAGACGTAGTGTCTTGCTCTAGTAGGTAGACCTTGTTCTTCTCAGAAAGTCTGAGTTATGCTTTATTAAACATGTTATGACCCTCATTTAATTTCCCCCTCCCCCAGTTCAACAGAAGAAAAGTCATGGACTCTGATGAAGAGGACGATTATTGAAATTTAAGATGTTTAGAGACTGGAACTTAATGGAACAGTTCTAGGACAGATAAGACTGTAGAAGTGAAGATCTGATTGTTTACTTTGTTTATTGTCTATATATGCCTTTTAAAAAAATAAACTTGTTATGCAAAATAAAACAATTTGGGCAGAGTTGTTTTTGTACCATAGCTGAAGGAACAGATCTGCATTTTGAATTTTTTCTTTCCCACCAAAAGTTTTGAAACGTGTAGCAGCATGAATACATCCTCTGTAAATGTGATGTTAGTGTTAGGTAGGAAAATGGCCTTTGCAGAAATAGAAGCCAGCTTACTCTTCAGTAAGAAGAAAATAGCATCCAGTAACATCATGGTAGTTAAAACCCACGGATTAAGAGGAATCAACTTTAATATCTTAATACTTAGACCTAGGTTCTGAAAACTATTCTTCCTGAAGGTAGTATTCACATTTAATATAAGAAAATTCATAGCTTTGGTTTCATTTATAATCTGCTTTTCAAAGGCATTGAGATCAAATGATCTGACAAATATCCCCCCTACCCAAGACAGTCTGTAACTAGAGTGATACCTGAATTGCAGAAAATTACCACAGTAACTGGAGATACTGGTAGTAATACTTCAACAGTAATAAACATGTTGGTAAGAGAAGTGCCTTCTAATGATTAAAATCCAGCTGAGACAGTTTAGCAGTTAAACATTTTGGTAGAAATATTCTGAGTTCTTCACTGATAAAGTGGCAGGTAACTTAAATGGCATCTCTTACGTTGTCCTCCCACTAGGTTTTGAAACTTGTATGAGTAAATTGACCTGTCCGGTGTGTTGTCTGGTGTAAACTTAAGAGGTTCCAGCCCCAGGAGGACGTCCATAACATTTTATGAGGTGACTAGAATTAGTAGCAGGAGAGTAACAGGAAAAGTAGTTTACAATCCCAGTCTCTGCTCTAGCTAGCATACTGCTGATCTATGTTTAAATTGTGTATTTGAGAGGTTACTGTTTTTGAGGCTTGAAATTTGGAACTACAGCCCACGAAAAAAGTCAGTGTTGAAGCATCTAGCATTCCCAAATAAACGAATGAGTAGAACTGTTCCATCAAATTTTTTTTTTTTTTTTTTTTTAAGGAACAGAATTAGATAGTCACGTAAATTTCCCTCAGGGATTTTAAAAAACATCCCTATTACAGGTGAACTTTGCTTCAGGTCTCATTTACATAAAAACGCTAGAGGGAGACTAGAGAATTCCCAGCAAGTTTTGTCACATGCTTCTTCCTACAGAATAACCACTGTCCCGATGGCAAATACCTATGTGAATGTGTTTAAACTGTCAACCCCCTGTCCTGTCCTCCAGAGACCGTTGAGGATGGAAAGTGGTTCTGTACACACGGATAAAAGTTCTGGAAGGCAGAAAGGGGGTGGAGTATATTTTGGTCTAGGAAATGGGGAGTGGTTATTCTAATTTAATTGACAATACTTTGAATTCAAACCATTCTTAAACAGAATAGAAATTTGGGCATTACCAATTTCTGAGTTGTCAAATCAAGTTTAGTTTTAAGTGGGAAAGCAAGTTGTAGAAAAACAAGTGTTTTTAAAAATAATTGAGCTGGTCACTTTGGGTAGCTCACCCTGCTGAGTAGCTCAAGAAGCAGCTTCTCCCCTAAAACAGTCTCATTCAAGGTATTTATATCTCCAGAAGAACACACCACATTGGAAACTGCCAGTTCACATGACTCCACCAAGTAGGCCTTGACTGCAGCTCTGATAGTGCAAGCAAATCAGCCCCCTTCTTTCTCTGAACCTGTTTCTTCATTTGACAATTTTACCAATCAGGGGGATTGTTAGAAATAAATACGTGGGTATACACGAAAGTTTTCAAAATTATATTGCACTACCCCAAAAAATAGGTGATACTAAATGTGTGTATTTGCAACTTGGCTGTGCTGATAAGTTTCTTAATTAGGGTGGGAGCAAACCACAACAACTTGCCAATAAGGTGGCTTTGTTTTAAAACTGGGAGAAAAAGGAAAAATAGAACAAAGAAATTTGCAGAGCAACAGTGCTAATTTTCTTTTTGGGCTAAGAAGCTGTATTACATTTTTTATCTGATTTTTTTAAAAAACATTTTTGTGGGCCCTAGTTATTGCACCTACTAGATTAAGTCAGGCCTAAGCAGGTGAATGGATAATGGTCTGCTCTGAATGATCCAGTTTACATATTTCAGTGACATCAGGAACTGAAAAACGTATATCCATCCAATGGGAGAAGATCTTTCCATACACAGAGCACATGTTTATAGCAGACAGGCTGCAAAATACCTCTCTCTACAGAACAAGACATTAACTAAAAAAGTGTACCATGACACGTTCAAGAATCATAAAGTTTACTGTTTCTTTCCCATCATTTGACACATATCCAAGGCACGTTAGAAAATTAGAAATCATAAATTACTTTGTAGAAAAATAATCAGCCCCTCCCTTCTATACATACACAAGTATTTCCAAGAACATGCACAAAACCATTTCTGTATTACAAAGTTACTTGAAAATGTACTCAGGACAAACCCATGTTTGCGGCTGTAGGCCAATTAGTAACATAAAAAAATAAGAGTATAATCTATAGAAATTTATAAAAAGGAATAAATGGCAATAAATTCTAACTGAAAGTAACTCTCACCTGGTTTGTGCTGTAAGTTTTGAATCTGAATCAAAAGACTAAGAAAAGATGTGCCAAATCTCTCTTGTTCGGTAACCATCAGTCAGGTGTGACATCTAAGGGAGGGTTTTAACGGAAGGGCATGTGTCTCGAGAGATTGATACAGGTGCAGTGATCAAATATCTGTACTTACTTTGTTGGAAGAAAAATTATACACAACTTTTCCCACATACATAGTGTAGAATAGGTCCTAAATGTCCTTTTCATTAAAATGAACATCACAACGGCATGTAGGCATCTTTGGGTTCAAGTGTTGCTTTGCAAAGGAATATTTTCCAGTCCTCTTTTCCTCATTCCCACGTGTCGCTTCTGCCTGGCCTCCATGGTACCATGAAACCTAAATTGCTTCTCTTCAGCTGATCCCAGATGGAGGAATTCTTTCGGCCTATGGTTTGCTCGTTTGTCCACATCACGGAGGTTAGCACCTTTCGTTAGGAGGAGGTCAGAATCTGGTCGTGAAACCTCGCACGGGAGCCAGGGAGCTCCTGCCACTTCAGAAGAAACCTACGCCTGCTCTTAAGGATCTGGACACTGCTGAAGTCGGTGTGCACTCCTTTTCCAGCGCACGCACCAGCTTTGGAGAGAAAAGAGACAGTGATCGTTTTCTTGGTCGCATTACTTCCCTCAGCCACAGAACAGCTTTCAGGAACTTTCTGCTTTTCTCGCAAATCCAACAAAGTACATTTCAGTTCCCAGCTGTGTTCCTGCTTGGCACCTCCCTGCCGAGGACTCACTTCTTGGCAGCCAATGTAACAACTGCTTATCACCACTAAGACTGGGACGTGACATCAGCCTCTCTGGAAGTGGCTAGGTGGTCGGCAGTCCCTGGGTTCTGGGATACGACTGTGTCCTCGACTGTGTGTCTACGTAGCATCCGCCTGTTTGCAGGAACACTTCGTTTCGGTCCAGGCCCCTCGGGCTGATTGCCGTGCCCTCTGTCAGCACTCTCAGATCTGCTCTGGTCTGGCAGGTGGTTCTGTTTCCCTGTGACTCTTTGCCTCCCTGGCTGAAGAAATGGTACAATTCAAGCAGTTCATTTGCACTGCACTTTAAACAAGAACCACACAAGAACGGCGCTCTTGGGTGCTGTTTGTCACCCCATGTGCTTGGTACTTTCTGGGCATCATTTCAGCTCTGACACCCCCGTGGGGACAGGATGACATGTGTGTACTCCATGTGTCAGACACAATGTCAGTGCTTTTACCTATTTGCACATTTACTCTTTATAACTCTAACAGGTGTACTAATTGCTGTCCCCATTTACAACTGAGGACACAGGATCAGCAAATGGAAGCAACCTGCGTGAAGTCCCACAGCTCACAAGGGAAAAGCGCTTGATGGAACCCAAGCAGATTTCAGAGTTGGCGGGTTTCCCATGCAGCAGCACGTCTGTTAGCAAAGTCACGAAAGGTTACATAGATCGAAATGAGTCATGTTAACAAACATTGCTTTGATTCTCTAAAACAAAGATTTAGAGCTTCTGTATCTTTGCTGTAAAGTCTGCTTCTCATCAACAGTCATGTAATGCAAGGAGCAATAGGAAAAGTCACGTTTCTGAGAAGAGTCACCTAATCGTATGACAGAACATAAAGCAAGCGTCTCTTTATAACTGAGTAAGCAGTGCTGTAGGAAGATGGCCACATGCAGAACTGTCCATACGAGCAGCTCTAGACCACATCTGGAGAAGTTTTTTACCCATCTGCATATAAACTTGGTTTCCTCCTGACATCAGTGATTCCCACACTACCGGCAGCTGAGCTGTTTCACCAAGTACGCGCACCATGAGCCCCAGCATCTCCACATGTACCCCTATTTCCCGTTTTCCCCTCACTCTCCTTTCTCAATAAATGAAGTCTGTACTCTTTGCTGTCCCATTAACTAACTCATCTTAATTGTTATAAATTCTTGCAAAGAATGGAATCATGAAATGAGAAATGTGTTCACCGTAGATTCATTTTGGAAAAGCCAGGCTTTAAGAAATATGATGATAAGCCAGCATTGAATAACTCACCTCATATAAAGAGTCTTCAGTAAAATTAGGGACACTCCTATCTCTTGCCACAATCTCCCTTGAAGTCCTTCCTCTGAAACCGGAAACAAAGTGAAATCAGTCTGAAATAGTGGCGTGAAACACTCTGGTTGGCCACGAGGTGGCAGCATTTGGTGAGTGCAGATTTTCTCTAACCCACTGAAGGGGCCCATACCTGGCCTGAGTTGTAAGTAAAGGTGGGGTCAAAGGCAGGGGAATCAACTCAAATTTTATACTCACTTAAACTGACCACCTGAGCGGACAAAGTAAAACTGTCTGGTAAAAGGTTCATCTGGTAGATTGTACATTTTTGAGTTCCCTGTGGTTAAAAAAAAAAAAGGATAAACATCTGAAAACTTCCAAAGTAGTTTAATTAGAGTTATAGCACAGATGCAACCTTTCAATTTTCTTTTTCTTTTTTTTTTTTAATTTTATTTATTTATTTGACAGAAAGAGAGAGAAAGCAGGAACACAAGCAGGGAGAGTGGGAGAGGGAGAAGCAGGCTCCCCACTGAGCAGGGAGCCCGATGCGGGGCTCGATCCCAGGACCCTGGGATCCTGACCTGAGACGAAGGCAGACACTTAACGACTGAGCCACCCAGGCGCCCCAACCTTTCAATTTTCTTAGCTTAACAAAATTTAGAAAATTAAGCACTGCTATCTGCTTAAAGAAACATATTAGTAGCTATTTATTACTGTGTGAACCCCCATGGCAAGGAAAGATACATCCTTATTAATCCACGGATATTCTCCAGCTATAGGCAACTGTGACACAGCCTCGGGATTACTGAGGTGGAAGTGGGTTTATTCACATTATTCCAGAGGGGCGGCTGGTTGGCTCAGTCAGTGGTAGAGGGTGTGACTCTTGATCTTGGGCTTGTGAGTTTGAGACTCATGTTGGGTGTAGAGATTGATTAAAAAAAAAAAATCTTAGTAGAGCATGGACCCAATCTAGACTATAACAACTAAAGAAAGAAAGAAAAAAAATACTTCAACCCTATCCATGTTTGGCAACTACTATTCTAATTACCAACAATCTCTATACCTGCAAGTAAAGTAAGTAAATAAAAACGTTTAAGGTTAGCAGGAAACGCTGAGCCCCAGATGTCCAGGAAATGCTTAGAAAAAGGCCTGGGTCTGGGCCATGTGGCATGTAAGAATCTCCCAGAGGCTGCTCCTTCTCTCCAGCCGGTGGGGGAGGCCTGAGCCGTCAAAGGTGAGGCTGGGAGTGGCCACCTTATTTCCTTAGGAAGCATCATCCCAATCAACCAGAAAACCAGTAGCAAAACAAGCTGATGAGCAAGGCTGTAACATTTCTTTGGTGCCCCTATCCTGCCCCCAGTCATGAGTATAATGACATTCCACATTCACAATTAAATGAACACGAGCAACTACTCATGAATTTCCAAATATGCCCATATTGAGAATTACAGAGGGAATGTAAATTCTTACATTTTTTCCTGATCTTAACAGTAACGTACTCCTTGTGGTCTGTTTCGCCAACATCGTCTACTGAGGCCACACAGCTCGGTACTACCTGAAGTAATTCCATTATTTTTGAATTCTACAATTCGAAAGGGAAAAAGGTAACAATTAGTATTTGTAATTCTTAGCGGCTTACTGGCTGTTTTTGATCTGTCAGTATTGGTGCAGCTGGGCAGAGAAGCTAAGCAGCAGCTACAGAAGAAGCTGATGCCATAGAGCCTCGTGGTGAGGAGCAGCCCTGCCCTTGGAGCCTGGCTCGGCCTCTACTAGGGAATCCGGGCCAGCTACTTAGCTGCCCTGTGCGATGGGGCTGACGAGAACAGGATCTCTTACTGCAGAGTTCTCATGGGGTTATCGACGGCCCAGCACATAGTAAGTACTCGATAAAAAACACTCATTATCTTTTGAGAACCTGCTCACGAGAGGTTTAAAATATTTGGATTCTGTTAGGAAATGTCACTGAAAATTAACGTGATAAGCCTCTGAGTACGTTGGGTTTATGGTGACTTTTACATGACACCAGTGTCACTTAACAGCCTACCAACTGTCTACCCAGAGTCAAAAACAAAAAGACTCAATGTGAAAATGGGGACAGTAGAGAGCTTGCTCCTCCCAGGAGAGGAAGCCTTCTCCTCACCAGTTCCCTGTGCAAACACCCACAGCATGGGAAGGAGAGGTGACCTGGTCATCACGATTCCCCTTACAGGGAGAATAACTCCAGGAGACTTAGAATCACAACTGAACGAACGCTCTCCGTTGTGCTAAGACCCCAGGTGCAGTCCCCATGCAGGGAGCGTGAGCCCAGAACGTGGTCTCAGCTCACTGCTTCCCTGGGGGCACCGGATGGCTCATCCCTGGGCCAGAGCAAGTCGCCGACACCTGCAGCAGTCAGGGGAGCACCTCCACTCGGCCCTTTGAAAGCAAGCCCTGAAAGACTGACCCCTGGCTCCCCGAGCAGACCACCTCTGACCCAGGGACCAAGGACTGGATATTTGACCGCACCTGCAGACTCCCGGCACACCGACTTAGCCCAGCATCTCGATTCAAAGGTTGGCTCCTGCTATTTCAGATGTGGTTTAACCACGGGGAAGCCAGAGTGAGCTGCAAGGGAGCTCCCCACTCACCTGTTCAGCACAGTCTACCGCGGTGCACTGTCTCTTGTTCAAGACCTGAACTGATGCCCCATGAAGCAGAAGCAGCTCCACCACGAAGACATGCTTTTCTATCACCGCCTCATGCAGTGCTGTGTTACCCTTATTGTTAGAGAGGTTAATGGAGGCCCCGTGCTAGAAGGAGAAACAGTGCAATCAAAAGGAATCCAGAGGGGCGCCTGGGTGGCTCAGTCAGTAAGTGTCCGAGTCTTGATTTCCGCTCAGGTCATAATCTCAGCGTCGTGAGATCAAGCCCTGCGCTGGGCTCTGCGCTGTGTGGAGCCCGCTTAAGATTCTCTCCTCTCTCTCCCTCTCCCTCTGTCCCTCCCCACCCCGGCTCCCATACGCTACTTCTCTTTCTCTCTCTGAAAAAAAAAAAAAGGGGGGGGAATGCCAGAAAATGAGGCACCCACGACTGACGAGTACCCGGCAGCTCCGGGGCTGGCGGGCCCTTACCTGTAACAGCAGTGCCGCGACTTCATGGTGGCCATTGGAACAGGCGTAAATGAGGGGTGTGTTTCCACTTATATCCTTTTTATTGGGTTTTGCATTAGAATCCAATAGACACCTCACCACCTAGCCCAGAGAAGACAAAATTCCAAACTTAAATCTGTGGAAGAAATCCTCTAACTTGATATCCTTTTTACTCTAAGTTTATTTGGAAGGCTCTTTGGACACATGTCTGACTCGGGAGAAAGCTGACCACTCAAGCGGGGTGCAGCAGACATTTGCTGAGGGTCTCCTCCACCAGGCAATGTGCTAGGCACTATTTTTTTTTTTTTTTCCATTTCATCATTAGAGCTGCCCTATGTATGGAGGGCTGGAATTATCACTCCAGTTTTATAGACTGGGAAACTGACATTTGAAGTGCTATGTTAGGTGTTACGAGAGCGATGGAAAATCTGATTTGGTTCCTGTCTTTTATTTATTTTTTATTTTTGTTTTTTAAGTAAACTCTCCACCTAACGTGGGGCTTGGGAACTCACGACCCTGAGATCAAGAGTCACAGGCTCTACTGACTGAGCCGGCCAGGCACCCCTGGTTCCCGTCTTTTAAAAGCTTACAGTAGAGCTAGTAAGGTAAAAATTGTTTTAAATAGATAATTTTCAAAAAGAAATATAGGACTTTGAAAAACTCAAATCATTTCACAGTTCTCTCTTGCACCCCCTCCTTAGGGCCATTCTCTATAAAGTACATAAACTGGGGCGCCTGGGTCATGCAGTCAGCTAAGCATCTGCCTTCAGCTCAGGTCAGGTCATGATCCCGGGGTCCTGGGATCGAGCCCTGCGTTGGGCTCCCTGCTCAGTGGGGAGCCTGCTTCTCCCTCTGCCCCTCCTCCTGCCCCCTCTCTCAAATAAATAAATAAAATCTTTAAAAAAATAAATAAGTAAAGTCTTAAACTGTTCGACAAAGACCAAGGGCTGTGGGGATGAAAGGTGCCAAGCTGCAGGCAGAGCCCTCAATGACCAACACCCAAGCACCAGAGTCAGCGCCTGCTGGGGTCGGAATCAGGAGGAGGGCTCTGTGCCACTGAGAGGTGCATGGCAGTGGAGTAGGGGGCAGGGATGAGGTGGGGAACGGGAGGGCCCACTCCCAGATGCACCAGAGTTCTGCGTTCTGTTGCTGAGCAGTCTTGCCCCGTGGGAGGAAGGAAATGTGTCTGTCCTCTGAGCCCGCCCCCAAACTTGCCTCTCTGCAGCATTCCCACCACGGACAGTTCTAACCAAGAGCAAGCACCCCATGCCCTCTGCCTAGGAGAAAGACCCCGTACCTGGAAGTGGCCCTTCTGGCAGGCCAGGTGGAGCGGGACAGCTTGGTTTACGTTTCTGGCACCCACACTGGCACCATGTTTCAACAGCAGGGGGACGAGGTCCACCCGCCCATGCAGAGCAGCAACATGCAATGGGGAGGAGCCGTCCTGGTTGGTCACATTCACACCAAGTCCACTGGCAGGAATCTTTGCCAGCTTCTAGTAAATGCAGAAGATGGAGAGAGAAACATCATTAGTATTTAAGAAACTGGGCTGAAGGGGCACCTGGGTGGCTCAGTCATTAAGCGTCTGCCTTCGGCTCAGGTCATGATCCCAGGGTCCTGGGATGGAGCCCCGCATCGGGCTCCCTGCTCCACGGGAAGCCTGCTTCTCCCTCTCCCACTCCCCCTGCTTGTGTTCCCCCTCTTGCTGTCTCTCTCTGTGTCAAATAAATAAATAAAATCTTAAAAAAAAAAAATAACTGGGCTGAAGGAATTGAAGCCACCTGTGTCATTCCCTGTCCCCCGCGCCCCCCCCCCCAGCCCCTGTGCACAATTTGGGATCACAGTGGGATCCAGAATCAGGTTGCCCACAGGTGAATTCCTACAACTTTAGAAAGGTAAGATATACCAAAGGATTACTTCCATTTCCAAAAGAGCAAGCCCCCCCCCCCGAAATGATGCCCTCTTTATGCCAAGGCGATTCAATGGGAAACAGGAAGTCTGTTCCACAAATGGCATCTGAACAATGGGATATCCACATATGGAAAAACCGTACATCAACCCTTAGCTCACCACACAAAAAAATTAAAAATGCCTCATAGACCTAAATGTAAGAGCTATGACCATAAACTTCTTGAAGCAAGTACACAAGAAATCCCTGCAACACTGTGATAAACAAAGATTTCTTAGATAAGACACAAAAAGCAAAAACCATAAAGGAACAGTTTGATGAACTGGACTTAATGCAAATTTTAAGTGGTTATTTTTTGAAAGACACAAGAAAATGAAAAGGCAAGTCACAGAGCGGGAGAAAATGTTTGCACTACGTGGACCCGACAAGGGACGTGTACCAACCAGAATTTAAAAACAGCAACAGATTCTTACAACTCCATTAGACAATCCAACTTTTAAAAAAAAGAGGCACAAGATTTGGAAAAACAAAAGACAAATGTTTATATCATGGAGACAGTCTGTATTGATTCGCACTGGTTTTAAAATCAATCATGCCAACAGAAGAACAATCAATCAGTAATTAAACGGACAAACAAAACATTTCATATAAATGAAAACAAACATTAAATTATGATATTGAATCCTACATTCTGACAATAAAATTGCTATGTCAGCGTTCTAGGTGACTGCCCAAAGATGAAAACTTTGGTTATCTAGTTCACTTTTTGATGATTAAAAAGGTTTTATCTTGGAAAAATTGCATGCTGCGTTAAAAGGGTAAATTTTGCTGCATGTAAACTGTACCTCAAAAAATAAAAAAACAAACAGATGAAGCAGTAGGGAGAAAAAAAAAACACAATGAAATACTGCACTCTTACAGTAATGGCTAAAGTTGAATAGTCACAAAGATGTGGGGCAACCAGAAAGAACTCTCACACGCTAGTGGCAGGAACGGAAGATGGAAAATCACTCTGGAAAACTGGCAGTTTCTTATCAAGTTACACACACACTTACTACATAATCCAGCAATTACACTCCAAGGTATTTACCCAAGTAAACATATTTATACAAAGACTTGTTCACAAATGTTCACACTAGCTTTCTTCACAAAGCCCCAAACAGGAAACTACGCAAATGTTCATCAACGGGTGATTCGATTGATTCTAGTATATTCAACAAAATACTACCCAGCAATAAAAAGAAAGGAATCCACTGTGGTGTGGATCTCAAAACATTCTGCTGCATGAAGGAAGCCAGATTCAAAAGAGTGGGTCCTGTCTGGTTTCCACTCACATAAAATTCTAGAAAATGCCAACGAGTCTGTGATGACAGACAGCAGACCCGGGGGGGTTGCCTGGGACAGGGGAGGAAGGGGGGAAGCCCAAGAAAACCCTCAGAAGTAATGGAGTGTTCTGGATCTGGACTGCGGTCATGGCTTCATGAGGAAACTCGATGGATTACACACGGTACACAGGACTTTACTGGGTGTAAATTGTACTTGAATAAAGGTTTTTTAAACAAACACTCTAAACACACCAGTGGGCTAGAAGAGGGTGGGGCCAGGGGGTGGTTAGCTAAGTCACAGACATGAAGCAATCTCCATATAAATGTCTTTTTTAGGTCTTTTTGAGGAATTTCAAAATGAGAAAAAGATTTTAAAAAAGCAGGGAACGTTAAGATTTTATTCAATAAGGGCGCCTGGGTGGCTCAGTTGGTTAAGCGACTGCCTTCAGCGCAGGTCATGATCCCAGGGTCCTGGGATCAAGTCCCGCATCGGGCTCCCTGCTCTGGGGGGAGCCTGCTTCTCCCTCTCCCACTCCCCCTGCTTGTGTTCCCTC